ATATATATAAATAATCTTTAAGTCTAGAAATAAGGAATTTATAATAAATACAACAATTAACAATTTATATTTATTAACAATTTATTTATATTAATCATGTTATGTCCTCTTTTGAAGTCACTTCGGACAAAATTTTCAGCTAAATGAATAAGTGTAAATGTATATTAAATTATACAATCTGCTAGGATTAACACACTTCTATACTACAACCTGAAGTTAAAAAATCATCTGCCAACGATAGTTGTCTTGCTAAACTCTAATGCTAAACTGTAATTTCTATGACAGTGCATCGAATGCATTTCAGTGTCAGTTATGTTCATTTATATTCCTGTATGTTTGTGTTTTTGTGTTTCTTCACAAGCCCAGCTCGTGGTGGAGGCCGACACCTTTGGGAGTCAAGTGAGAATAAGAGGGAAAGAAATGAACTACTACTTGTGCATGAACCGTAAGGGGAAGCTTGTGGGCAAGGTGAGTTACTGAAAAATGGCTGTACTTGATATTGTAGGGCCTGCATCCTTTAAATCATTCACACTCTGAAGAGCTGTTCACACACTGATTTGAAACAAGCTGAGGTCACTTGTCAGTGTGAAACCCCCATAAAACGCACATCTTTGTTGGACTCTTGATGAAAAAGCTGGCAATAACGAGCTTGTTTCATAAAAATTCCAGTGAGATCAAAATTTAAGTAAGCTTATTTTTGCAAAATGAATTTTTTAGAATAGATTATGGACCAAATATAGCGATATATCTGGAGATACACTAACCAGCCACTTTGTTAGGTAGGCTACACCTTGCTAGTACCGGGTTGGACTCATTTTTGCCTTCAGAACTACCTTAATTCTTTGTGGCATAGATTCAACAAGGATCAAGTAAACAGTGTGAGATGATTTGAACTTTGTGACATAGCACACAAATCCACAAAGAGCAGCCCATCTGGCACCAACAACCACCTCACATACACAGTCACATAAATCACCTTTCTTCCCCATTCTGATGGTCGGTTTGAACATCAGCACATTGTCTTGACCATGTCTACATGCCTAAATGCAGTTGCTGCCTTAATGAGCAGTTAATGAGCAGTTGAACAGGTGTACCTAATAAAGTGGCCGGTGAGTGTATATTAAACATGGCTCTTTTTTTTTTAAAGAAAATGCATACGTTCTTCCATTCCAGAAAGACAGCAACGTAAACGGAGGCTGCATTTTCATCGAGATAATGCTTGAGAATAACTACACCGCATGGATGTCAGCGCGCTACGTGGGCTGGTACATTGGCTTCACCAAAAGGGGCCGACCTCGCAGAGGTCCGAACACGTTACCCAACCAGCGAGACGTGCATTTCATGAAACGCTTCCCTCCAGGAGAGCAGCCCGACCTGCAGACCTGCAGCTTTACCACGGTCAGCAAGAGGAGCAAAAGAGTCCAGCAGACCTCCACCTCTCCTCCACCACTCCAATAATACAACAGACACTGGCTGTTGTGCAAAGATCACTTCTTACAGAGGATCTAGAGAGACGCTTTTCCTTAAAACGCAAGTAGGTTAGGCTTTAGGACCGACCTCTCGGTAGAAGTCACAGTCGAAGGACAGAGTTGCTTAAACATTGTGTAATCATGCAAATATTGCCAAAGACTCCTGGGCAAGTGTCCAGTCTCTAAACCCTGACAACAAGGGGACCAAGCACTTCAGAGGCAAAATAATTCCCCTCTAATGTCCAGTGCCACAGCTTTGATTTGTCCCACCATAAAAGAGCAAAGACTTGCGTTGAGTTGTATGGCTGGAAAACTGGTAAGTGCGCGGCATAATGTGCATTAGCTGAGACTTGGCGACTTGGATGCTTATGACCAAAAGGGCGATTAAAGGACCTGCTTTGTGAACTTATCAAATGTCAACCTTGGTCCTATAAGAGCCATGAGATTGTAAACAAGAACTAAAGTCATTCAGAATGTATTTGTCAAGAAAATCCTATTAGACCTTCTGGTGAAGGTGTAGTTTGTTTGTTTTTTTGCCTCAGATACTTCACATTTCACCAGGAGCAGCGAGAGTCTTTCATATTATTCCAATGAAAAAGTTATATTTAAAGGGAGTGATATACACTACCGTTCATAAGTTTGGGGTTGGTAAGATTTTTAAATGTTTTTGAAAGATGCTCAAAAATACAGAAAAAAAGGAAATATTGTTAAACAATTACAATTTACAGTAACTTTTCTATCTTAATATATTTTAAAATGTAATTTATTTCTGTGATGCAAAGCTGAATTTTCAGCAGCCATTCTTCCAGTCTCTAGTGTCACACGATCCTTCAGAAATCATTCTAATATGCTGATTTCTTGTTCAAGAAACATTTCTTATTGCTATCTATGTTGAAAACAGTTGTGCTGGTCCATATTTTTGTGGAAATCAAAAGTACGAAAGTACAGTATAACGGTCTTTAATATCACGATTGATCAATTCAATGCATCTTTGCTGAAGAAAAGTTCTTTCTTGAAGAAAAAAAATTGTAATGAACGGTAACATTTGAACGGTAGTGTAAATATAATTTAACAGCACAGAATGCCAAATTAAATATTCTGACCACTAATAAGACGGTAAAATCCCCCACAATCCACAAAAGAATGTATGAAAAAGGGGCCTATAAAAGACAACATTTGTGAGCAAACACTGATCTGCACTGATGTTCATGGCTGTTTTAAAACAAAATATCCATTACTGGTCCCAACATGAGTTGATTTTCACTCTAGAGAGTTAAATGTATCAGAGGAGTTATTTGAACTGACCCCGGAGCTTCCAGCGCTGCAAGTGTTGTAATGCTAAATGTTGCAAATTACTGTCCCAAAACCACTTGGGGCTGGTGAAGTCTTGAGAGATGAAATATTTTGATACCATTCATACTATTAAAATATTTATTTTGTGGATGCATTGATCAGTGGGTTTTATCTGTTCCATGACACCTTTACCCTGAACATTGGTGTATTTTGGGGTCCAAACTCTTCTGTGCTCTCTAGCAGTTTTATTGCCACCTGGTGGACCCAGAGGGTATAAACTACAGCCCTAAAATGCACACTTGCAGACTGTATAATAAAGGCTAGCACTAGTGTAACTATCATAAGAGTTCCAAACAATACGAAAGCTAAACAATAAGAAGAACAAAACCGAGAAGTTTTCTCAAAAGTAAACCTGTATAAGGGGTTTTGAGATTTTGTCTGTACTCTAGACATCTACTGCATTCCAGATCACCCATATTGGGCAGTAGTCGCCTCTCTCTCCCCCGTCTGAAGACTGACTTTGATCCTCCCTCTTTATAATGTCTCCATCTCTCTCACATCCACCCTTATGTCTCACAATCTGACAGCAGCCTGCCATAATTCAGTCTAATGCCTTATTTCAATGGAATTCCATTCTGAAGTTTGCACAGAACGGAACTGTGATTCTTGAGATTTCAGACAAAAATATTGCTCTGCATTCAAACATTTTTTGAATTGCTACAGCTCTGAAATGATTTACCCAAACTGGGCTCGTATTGTGGATGTTGCCATGGTGGCGTTCATAAGGAAAGCTGAAATCAAATAAGACGAAAATGACAGTACTGCCAATTTCCACATATTCGGAGCAGGAGGTAAACTTAAATATTTGAACAGCAGCCCTGCGATTTCTGGAGGTCTGGGCAGGCGCTGCGGCAGGTTACTGAAATCTGGGCCTGACGGAAAGCCTTTATCTCAAAAGGGCGAATCATGCGTACAAACACACACACACACGAAAAACACAAGGCGATTGTGCAAGCTTCTTAACACTCCTTCACAGTCAAGTACTTTATTCTTATTAATAACGCTTTTTTTTTTTTTTCTTTAAAAAAATCTTTGCAATATACAACACCATTTTAGACGAGACAATTCTGTTTACAACTAAATTCAGATCAGTTATGGGTCATTCAGAACCTAGACGAGCAGACAGTGAAAAGGGGAACGAGACGGACAGAGCTAAAAAGGAGTCAAAAAACTACAATTATTCATACAATTTCACAAGAAAAGAAAATATGAAGTCAATTTCCCAACTAAAAAAAAAAAAAAAAAAAAAAGGGGGGGAAAAGAAAAAAAAAAAAAAAAAAAA